CACTTCGCCCCTTTCCTGTTCCATCAGCACCTCTTTGGCTCTTCATATTGCTTTCTGTTTCCCAGCAGTATGACCATATCTTGTGCACTGGCATCTGGGAATCCCCAAAAGCTGTATTCACTGCCCTTGGCCATTGAACTTTAACTATACTATGGTTTGGGAGTCCCATTTTGAATTTTGGGCAAGGAGATCCTGGCCTTCAAGGTAATTTTCTATCAGCTGCCCTAACTGATGGAATAATTTTAGCAACCTATGTCAGAGCCTTTTTTTTTCCCCATTCCCCATTGATATCATTGGATTTAACTTTTGAGCTGAAAGGAACAGATATAACAGGATTCTAAGTGAGAAGCAACCAGCTGGTGAATCTGTTCCAGGAATCATTCACAGAAATCCTATCATTTTTTTTACTGTGTTCTCTCTGTGTCTTAGCCACCTAAATTGAGCTACTTGAATTTACCTCTGGCCATGATCATTCCTCTGATTTCCTTCTCATTAGTAAAATCCAACATGACAGCCACAACAGTAAATGTGCCTATGAATTTATATACCCTCTTGTCTTCCCAAAGGAGAGTCAGAGTCACATGCCTAAGGGAATCCTCTAGCCACACTGTCTACCGGAATGTAGGTCAAAGAATATGGTTTGGGTAGACTCAGTTCTGATTGTCAGGTGACCAGCTCTGCACTTAAACTCTATTCTCAGCTGGTGCTGCGGCTCACTAGGCTAATCCTCCGCCTGCAGCGCTGGGACCCAGGGTTCTAGTCAGGGTTGGGGAGCCGGATTCTGTCCTGGTTGCTCCTCTTCCAGTCCAGCTCTCTGCTGTGGCCCCGGGAGTGCAGTGGGCGATGGCCCAGGTCCTTGGGCCCTGCACCCGCGTGGAAGACCAGGAGGAAGCACCTGGCTCCTGGCTTCGGATCAGCACAGCGTGCCAGCCATAGCGGCCATTTGGGGGGTGAACCAATGGAAGGAAGACCTTTTTCTCTGTCTCTCTCTCTCACTGTCTAACTCTGTCAAAAATAAAAAATAAAATAAAATAAAAAAACTCAATTCTAATATCATCCTTTCTTTCATCTCACAGTAGTCAGACGGTTTCCCTTCCCAGTATAGAGTCACAACACCTCACCTAGGCTTCACCTACTCCAAGGGAGTCACTGATATTACCCCTGCCAGTAATAAGCATTGACAGCAAATACTGAATTTTACAACTGAATTTTTGCAATGTCCGAAAAGCCTATAATTAGCTCCTAAGTCAATTAACGTAAAGGTCCAAGAAAACATGAATTGCCCGGATATTTGCCAGCTCTGCTCAGCAGTGACTCAGCTTCTAAATAATTGTTCAGTCCAATGTGGCAACCACTAGCTACATGTTGATACTGAGCACTATAAATAAATAATATGATGTTATACTCATAAAACTGCATATATGAAATTTGTTCCCTTTATATAAATTTTAAAACTTTAATAAAATTAAAAAGAAATATAGAATCTGAACTGAGATGCTTTATAAATTTAAAATGCACACCAGATTTCAATGACTTAATATGAAGAACAGAATGTAAAATACCTCTTCAATTTTTACTTTGAATAAATATTGAAATAATATTTTGGAGCCGGTGCCACAGCTCACTAGGCTAATCCTCCGCCTTGTGGCGCCGGCACACCAGGTTCTAGTCCCGGTCGGGGTGCCGGATTCTGTCCTGGTTGCCCCTCTTCCAGGCCAGCTCTCTGCTGTGGCCAGGGAGTGCAGTGGAGGATGGCCCAAGTACTTGGGCCCTGCACGCCATGGGAGACCAGGAGAAGCACCTGGCTCCTGCCATTGGATCAGCGCGGTGCGCCGGCCACAGCGCGCTGGCCGCGGTGGCCATTAGAGGGTGAACCAATGGCAAAGGAAGACCTTTCTCTCTGTCTGTCTCTCTCACTGTCCACTCTGCCTGTCAAAAATAAATAAATAAATAAATAATAAAAATAAAAAAAGAAATAATTATTTTGGAAATATTAAAGTTAGTTTTTGTTCTCTATGTAATGTAAAAACTATTTTATTGTTAACATAAAATTTGAAATTACACATGCAGCTTTCATTTGTTGCTCACATCATTTTTTTATGGGAAAGGGCTGTACTCTACAATAACTTCCATGATGACCTCCCCAGGTTGCAGATGGGTGACATCAAGATGAAATGCAATGTTCTTCCAAGTCACAACTGGGCTTTGTTAGGTCATGAAGCTGCTTGCTTTGCTCCCTGTTTCTCTTTCCTCCAACTGAAACAAGAAATTAACTGCTTCTTGAGCCACTTTTGCCTGAGATTTCTTCTATCAATTATTCATCTGCCAGTTTAATGAGTACTCCAATAACAGATTTACCCCCCCAGTTATTTACCTCAGCTGTCACTCTGATGTGATGGATCAGCATCTGATTCTCAGAATTCCCTCCCAGAACTTGCAGCTACATTGAATCCAAAATAGTCTGAAAGCCTGGTCAAATTTTCTCCACTGCTGATATTTGTGCTCAAACTGTCACTCAGAGAGTCTCCAAATACCAATAGGCTTTAACCTAATATTGCATTTACTAATATTATTGGTGAATGTGAAGTTGGAAATACACCAAGTCTGCAGCCTCTTCATCACGTGAGGACTCAATAGTTTCTAAAGTAACAGTTTGTTATGCTCCCTCACGACACAGGACATGTAGGTACAGTTCCCAAGGACAAAAATCAGGATGTATATAATTGTGTTAAGACAAAGAAGCCACAGACTTTGTTCTGAATCAAACTGGTATACAGTCCAGTCACATGGGTAAGAGATCTTAAGCTCAATGTGCACTGTTCACAATGCAGGTGTGATTTTTCACAGTGAATGCTACTACCCCCTATTCAGCTTAACTCTATTGTTTTCAAGGAAATGATGTTCAAGGAATCAGGGATCATTCTTAACAGTCCCGAAACAGCTCAGACCTGATGTTAACGTTTTACTCATAATTGAGAAAAAATTTAGTTGTTCCCTAAATATGTTAAATGGTAAAATACAACCAAGAAGAACTTAGTGGTTCCCTAAATATGTTACTTTTAAATGGATTATTTCTGTTTTGAGATGAGCAATAGGGGTTTTTAAAAATTTCAAATTAAATTCTCCAAAACAGATGGCTAGACAAGTAATCATTTAATACTGTCTTGCTAAATACATCTACTAGAATTCTGAAATCTTAGCATTTTGGTAATGATTTCTCAGGTTCTTCAACTACTATATCAACATATACAAATGCCCATTGAGATGTTGCTTTGGTTCTTTTTTAGTTGGACTTTTTAGAAGCACACGGGTTGACCTAGTTTAATAGGTTATTTTATACTTCAGCATTCAACTGATTCACACACAATCTAGTGCAAATTACTCAGGTGACCAATATTTTCCTTTTTGAATATGAACACCAGCATGATTTACTATATAAGTGTAAGTGTAAGGACACCATTTCATCACTTACATAAGAACAGTGTAACCCCTAGCACTTTTTTATGATAGACAAAATCTTGAAGCAAACAAGTACATTTAAAATTTTCATAGAAGTCAAAGAAATAGCAATCTAAATGTACATGGTCATAAGGAGTATTAGAAAATCAATTTTTAATTTATGCAAGATTGTAACAGAAGTCACAGGGAATATGGATTGTCAGCTTTTATTTCAAACTTATTTCCTCAGGACTCAGTTATATAAATTACCAATGAAATATTTCCCAATAATTATATCTTTTTGTTTTTCAGGTGGAAATACCTTACTTCAGTAATTTCCAAGAAACTATTTTAGACATAACTGAATCAACTTTGGTCATTTCCTCATTTTTAGAATTCAAAATTTATATTTTTATATAAATATTTTTATATTTTTATAGTATACTATATATTCAGCAGTTTTCACAGATCAAAAAAATGAGCCACTTATTTTTATCATATTACTGTGAAAAAGTACTACATACATACATGTGTGTATATATAATGCTACTTAGATATATAACAACTTTATAAAGTATTTTACTTAATTATACTTTAAATTTTTAGTTTTAGTATCAAAATTGGTTGCCATCTATGCCTAGATGAATGCATTAATAAACAATTCCTTAGAAAATTTAATTATAGATTATTGAATATAGTTTTTCTCTTTCATTACCACATATTTATTAATCTTTCCTTTAAATTTTGGTTTTCTTTTTGTTTACATATTTAGAAAATTCTATTAAATTGGCCACATTTAAGATGGTACTTTTAGAAGAATAAAGTTGTAAATAACTGTAAAATTTTATTTCTTGTTCTTGAAAAAAAATATGCCAAATTTCACTCATAGTTTCAACCAAACCAACACACTGGCAGAGTAATTGTATATGAACTAGTCTATGTAATGATCTTAGAGATCTTCCCAAAAGGGTTATTGTAAAACAGAGAAATAGCATGGGGTAAGGATAACACGGAGCAACCAGTGTTACTGTGCTAGACTATACTTGTATTTTCAAGAAATAGCTTGAAATTGTGGGAAACAAATATTAAAAGGTTTGCCTTTGTGATAAAGGAAAATTCAGTAAATGATACTTGTACATTCCTCTTTGGCACTTTATGTTTATCAATTTAGATACATAATGTTGTACATATGTATGTATGTATATGTATCTATGAAAGACAGACCGTGAGCATATATAACACAATATCTCAATAACTTTTTCTCTAATCTCTTCATTTGTATATGCTAAGAATATGTAGACAATATCAGATTTCAGTTTTTTCCATTAAGATATAGCTTTTGAGTTTTATATTTATAATTGGACTCATCAATAATGATATAACAGGACAAGTGAATAAAACATCACTGGGGGAAAAAGCAACTCATCTTTACAAATTATTCAGTTACTTTTTATATTAACATAAATATTTGTCATGATAATACTTAAATTATAATTGTGAATATTCTGCTTTACATGTCTTAATCCATTACTAACAGATTCTCTTACATTTTTCTTTGACAGGATGATGAGGTAAGGGAAAGTCGATTCAACTTCACAGTCTATGCAGTGGGACCTTGTCTGCAAGCAAGAGATGGTGTGACTCCAAAAGGCCCAAACCATGCTGTCCAGGTAACGCCAAAAAGCCCCGATGAAATGAGGAAGATCTTTATTGACCGGGCCAAGAAGATTGACACCATCTCCCGAGCCTGCTTCCCATTGGCCTTCTTGATTTTTAATATTTTCTACTGGGTTATCTATAAAATTCTTAGGCATGAGGATATTCATCAGCAACAAGATTAGGTCTCTAGGGGCACATAAGTGCAAATGTTCAATTCAGAAGAAAGTTTCCCTCTGGTGGATGTGTATGTGTGAGTGTGTGTGTGTGTGTGTGTGATACAAATAACTATTATAATAAACAGCAAATGGGGAAGGACCTATTTTGATTAGTTATGTAAAATCATGAAACAGATTAAGATTCTTTAAATTGACACAAAATATATATTATGAAGATTATATTTCGTATTAATTCAAGTTCTGTTTTTTCATAGTAAATCATATAACTCGAAGCTTTACTGCCAATGTGTTTCTATGTTACATCATACAGTAGCAAATGTGAAAACTACTTTGTAATTCCTTGATTTTTAACTAAATGATACTAAATGTTACAGATGCAAGATCTGCACAGTAAATTTTATCAAAGGGAAGAGGAGAAATAATGCAGGTAACAAAAACTAATACCTGGAGATGTATAACTATTTTCTTATACTGTAGTTACAAAATAGGAAAACAATTTATTGGAAAACTCATTCATATTACTAGAGGATTGTACATGCAAATAGAACCAATACATATAATAATTAAAATGTTCAAATTAGAAGATTAAAAAACAAAATGTTTATTATTTAGAATATTTAATCTTACTATTTAGAATTCTAAATTTCCATCTGTGGAAATTTTTAAAAGAAATGACTTAAGAAATCAGTTATATAAAAAATTTGCTTTTCTTAAATTTTGTATCTCTGGAAGTGAAGACAGTATGCTGAAAACATTATTATTCTCAAATAAGTATTACAACAATCTATCTATTTCTAATTATTGCCAAACACTGAAAGATTCTAACCAGCATTGTTATTTTGTTATATTTTTAATAGCTGCTAAATGTCTGTATGTGATTATGTTTAATGCTTTGATATAATTGAACAAATTTCAGTAAGACTTTTATATTTTAATTTAGAATGAGGCTTTAAAATTCAATGTAATTAAAATATTTACATTTTGATAAAAATGAGTTCAATGGAAATAAATAATGATTCACCAAATATTTTAATAACAATTTTTGCATCAAAGTTATATGGTTCAAATGTGTATCTCCAAACGTAAGGAGGGGAGATTTTCATTCTAAAATATATAAATAAGTTAATTCTATAAAGCTAGGAATATTTTATCTATGAATTAATAATTTCAAAATATAAGCTATCCACAGGTGTGAATATTTTAAATTAGATTTTGACTTAAAATGCATCCAGAACCCATGAGACTATTTCAACAATAGTAGGGCATTAGCTCATTTTTACAGCATAATCAAGTGCAATGTATGACACAGTTACTGGTTAAACTGAATCAGATTCTGATTCTTTTTCAGTTTTTCTAATTTTTAGATTATTTTGCCAGTAATGATGTATTTGAAAAAGTTTTAGAATGCATTTAGATATTTTAATTACTAGTCAGATGCATCAATAGGTAACTCATTATACCAAATTATTTACAGATAAAAGTATGAACATTTTTTAAAAAGTAGATGTATGATAGAAAAATTAGCCAGTTATTGAATGAGATGGTACTATTTTCAACCTTCTGCCACTTTCAAAAGAAAAGCAAGAACTGCCACTTAAAGTTTAAAAATTTCTTGTTACTGTATTTCCAATTGTAATTTTTAAAAATAATTTTAAAAATATGCATTCAATCATTTTTACAACTATAAGACTAAATTTTCTTCCATTATAAGTAATTTAAAACAATAGTATCAGGAAAAAATATCTCAGTGTTAGGCATTATTGCAAATACCACTTAGACACTTTGAGGATTGTGCAGTCAAGAGTTAAACTTGTACTTCCTCATTTGGTGTACATGAACTAAAACTGTGGAACTATTCATATATCCTTATATTTGATATTAGAGAAAGACATGTTTGTGTTCCCTGAGAATTAGATGGAGGGTTAAACAACAATAAACTACATCATTTCAACCTATCTCTGAAAACTTGAATACAATTTTCTGTATGTCACATATATTACTTCAAAAGTTCTCCAACATTGCTTGAATTATGTAAATTCTGCCAGAGGGAAGCAGAAGTATAATGAACATAAGCATGAATATTCACAAAAGAAACTCATGGATATCATTTGTTGTTATGGTTGAGGATATTAAAATTCTGTCTTTTAAAACCTGAACTTGAAATGTAAAAAATAACCACCATGAGACAACCTGGCAACAATAAGATTGGTACAGTAGAAATCTCCCTATCTCAAAAACATTTTATTTTCCTTAGTCAAAATTTTGCTTTCTTGTTATACTTATTGCTGTCTTACTACACTAAGAAAGTACTTTCTTCACTCTCAAGGCAACAAAGACAAGGTAAAATGGCTGAATTTCAAATGTCTAAAAGAATATGTCTCTTGTAATGAATTCTTACAGACCTTTAGGAATAGGAAAACTACATTGTATGTACTAAGCTCATATAGTATTTGCCACAATAAGCCCTGTGTCAAATCAGAATATTTCAATAAAATACCAGAGAGGGAGCATTAGCCTCACAGTTAAGATGCTCACCTAAGTGTGCATGAGTTCAATACCCAGATCAGGCTCCTGACTCCAATAGAGCCAATATAGATCCTGTAAGCACAGTGGTGGTTCAAGAAATTGAGTTCCTGCCTCCCATGTTGGAGACCTGCATTGTGTTCCTGATTCCTTGTACCAACCCTGCCGAAGCCCTTACCACTGCAGGCATTTGGGGAGTGAACCAGTGAATAGGAGCTCTCTCTCCCCCTCTCCCACTATCTGTATATTTCTCTCTCTCTCTCTCTCTCTCTCTCTGTGTGTGTGTGTCTGCTGCCACTTCTCTCAAATTAAAAAAATAAATGGATAAAAAACATTTAACATTAAAGAATACTACTAAAATTGAGAAATTTTAAGTTTTGCATATATACTACCACACACTTATGTTGAAATTTAATGTGGATATTCTAAGCTATTTTCAAAGAGCCACATTAGAAAAGATAACATCTTTGTGCATGCAGATTATAACACTTTTTAACAAATAATTATGTATCAACCATTAAAATATTTGGTTCTATACCATTTGAAATTTTAGGAAATCATAACAGCATACACATGCTCTTTATTCTCTTGCCCAACAATAGAAGTGGACTTAAACTATAACAGGGACCTAGAACTTTCTTTACTATTTAAATTAGATACAAGAATCACTATAGATGCAAGAACGCTAAGGACAATAAAACTTCTCAAGCCTTTCTGGAAGTTTCTCCATGCCATTTAATTGGAGAGTCCATGCAATTCTCAGCTCTTTTATTTATGTACCCAAGGTAAGAATACGTGTATTGAGTTTATGAGTGTTCCAGGATCTTATAGAAGGTAATGGAAATTACAAAAATATGTGGAAAATGAACCCAAACATTTAACAAAAGACCAAACTGTTAACTACGTTAGCACTCTCTGCAATTTAAGCAGTAATAATATTTGAATAAAATTAGGTATGCCTGTCATATTTTCATACATGTTTTCTGAATGTTCTTCATTCCATTTTTAAAAATACACTTTTCTATTCTTAACATGATTCATCTCAACCCGTTAGTTACTTGGGAGAATTGAATGTCAATATTGGCAGCTAAATTTTCCTTTCACCTGTAAGTACACATTTCATGAAATGAACTTCAGAGTACTTGAGACTTTGCAAAATTAAAATAGGAGATAATTTTAATATTGAATGTAGGAAACTGGCAATACTGGAATCCACAAGTGTCTACTAATGACAACACAGAGCACTCTAAGAGCAAAACTCTGAGAATGAAAATGTATATAATGATCCTTGGACAGATCAGCGAGGTCATGATGTCTTCACTCTGAAGTGGAGTTCATAGACTTTACAATATTGATAATAGCACAAACTCTCAAAATTAATCAGCATATGACATCTGTATTTTTCAACTAGTTAATGTTAGACCATTAGAAAAAAAAAGCAAGCCATTTCAAGTATCCAGGTTAAACATATGTAGTCACTCAGTATTCATTGAAGCTAGCAAGGCAAAGACTATAAAATAAAGGACTTAATCTACCAATTAAGAGGATGAATATAAGTTCTACTCAAAATGCAATTTAATTTTAACAGTCTATTCAAGGTAAACATTACCAATAAAATATAACCTATAAACATGGTAATTATCTTATTTCATTGAGAAAATTAGGAATTATTTTAGTGACTTAAATAATAGTTTCTGTATCTTGCAATTGCAGGCTTGTCTTCTGAATTACACCCACCAATTACACACATAATTATATATCTTGTTTGTTAAATTAGGTATTCAATTTTTGAACCAGTCATTTTATGTCTGAACTTGGTTTCCAAACTGAATTGTGAGCTGTTATAAAGATATTGAAACTTTTAGCAGTTACCTCTCACAGACTATAAACATTATAGTTACTGGCTCTATGTGCATTTCAGAGAAGAAAACATAATTGTTTACATGATAAACTTAAATATTGCTTGTAACTAGAACTAAAATTGATCTGCTCAAGCAAAATGCATTTCTTTCTGGTGAATTTCATTTGAAATTTTGACAAGACTATTTGCAGAACAATGAGAAGTGGAATGGTCTATGAAGATTAGACTTTTGAAAATGACTTAAACATTAATATAATGAAAACTGAATCTTATTCTCTGTAGTGCCTTCATAATTGCTTCATACATCCTCTATTAAAAGGCACAATTCCATTCATAGCACTGTAGGAATAATTGTAACTATTTCAGTGGTCATTGAATAAGAAATAACTTCTGACTAAGTACACAATAACTATCATAAAAATTATATATGGATCACTGGAAACTTAAGGAGAAATAATGATATTTTATTTTAGACCTTGAAATTTATGAGCTCAACACTCTAACATTTAAAAGAATACTAAAAAATAGACCAGGAAATTACAGTCTGTGGATATAAAAAACTCCAATGCTTTTTAATACTATGAGTGTATGTTAGAAGACATAGTGTGTTAAGGAAAACAGATATCTGTTTTGCTGAATGCAACTAAAATACTCACAAAACCCTCTGCACTTTGAAGAGACTTTACTCAGTAGATGTATTGTTTTTAATTTTTAAAAAGTATTCTCTTTTCATTTATTTGAAAGTCGAAGAGCCAGAGACACAGAGATAGAAATAAATCCCATCTGTTTATTTTTTTTAACTTTTATTTAGCAAATATAAATTTCCAAAGTACAGCTTATGGATTACAATGGTTCTCCCCCCCTCCCATTACTTCCCTCCTGCCCGCAACCCTCCCACCTCCGGCTCCCTCTCCCATTCCATTCACATCAAGATTCATTTTCAATTATCTTTATATACAGAAGATCAATTTAGTATATATTAAGTAAAGATTTCAACAGTTTGCACCCACACAGAAACACAAAGTATAAAGTACTGTTTGAGTACTAGTTATAGCATTAATTCACATTGAACAACACATTAAGGACAGAGATCCTACATGAAGAGTAAGTGCACAGTGACTCCTGTTGTTGACTTAACACATTGACACTCTTGTTTATGGCATCAGTAATCTCCCTAGGTTCT